TTTAAAACTAGATTATTTGTAGAATTTTTTTTTTAACCATTATGGCACTTGCTAGCCTTTGATGTGGTTCAGGAGGTTTAAAATGTCGTCAAGAAATCTTTGCAACTGGAATAATAATTTGGTAAACCATTTAGCTTTTTTACGTGAATAGTTGATTAATATGCCAGCTAGTTATTTGTCTTCTCAAACCACAGAAACCTGTTATTACTCAATTGGGTAGAAACGGCTGTACTAAGAATTGCTTTTGTAAACGCTTATTCATTCTTTATAGTTGTTACCGTAGACTCTCTGTAAATTTTTGTGTGTCCAGCTCTTGCCAGTCTGTGCGCGGTTTAGCTCTGGATCCAGCCAGACATTTCATCTTCAGCTGGTGGCTGCCTGCAGTGTAGGGTGGAGAGACGCAGGTTTAGGGGTGAGAAGACACTAGCCGTATGGAAATCAAAGCTCATAGTGTAACTTTTTTACTTGTTTTAGAACCATTCCTAAAAAGCATGGTGGGCAGTGAATTGTTAGTGAAGAATCACACATTTAGAGGTGACGATGCAGGCTCTTTGAATCAGGTATAAAAAAAAAAATTAGTCCTCAGCTGTACAGACAATTCACTAACTGGTCACATGAACCATTTTAAAACGGTTAATAAACATTGTGTAATTGTGCTAATGCAACAGTAATAGCTGCTGTCAGTTTTTTGCTTTTGTGCCTTCAGGGAGAGCAACTTTGTTCTTGGTGGTGTAAATCATTTAGAAACATTGTTTGCCCTGTTTTTCTCACATGTATAATGCTCTTAATAATCAAAACATCAAGGTGTTGGGGTTTGTTTTTTTTTTATTTTTTTTTTTTTATTCCAAAAAGTACCACTGAAGAAACCATTTTAGCAGCAACAATTAAGAATATCATAGCCCCAAAGAAGTATAAAAATATTTTACCTTGTATCAATTATTTGTTCCAAAAATATTTACTGATGAACAAGTCTGGAGTCTTTAATATTTTTTTCAGTAAAATGTCTCCGCTACTTCCCAAGCAGCTGTGACTTGACTAGTGGGAAGGGATGCTAGTGACTTGTTTGTTGTTTGTTTGGTTGTTTTAATTAATGCAATATCTGCCATTAACCACACTAGGGTTTTTTTGGAAGCACAATATTCGTTGACCGTGAGAGCGTCTCTGAACTTTTCTATACTACTATCCAGCCATAACATCTACCTGTATTACTGTGATTACCCCAGATAGTAAGGTGGAAACTTAAATCCTAATCTAACGCTATTTCTACCTCTGGAATAGAATTCTCCAGTAATAAGCAGAAAACAGGGAACATTATTTTGAAAAACTGAACATTATTTTGAAATACTTAGAACCAACTAAAAAAGATGTTTTATATACCTTAATTACAAATTATAAAGAAGTCCATAAGTACATACTTTCAGATTCTGCTGTAATTAACGTCCGGATTATTTCTTAGTTGCTTCTGCTAGCAGTGACTAAGTCTGGTAATGATATTTCTGAGTGAGTTTTGTCCATGGACCATGCTGTATCCTGTAACCGCTGTGCATGTAGTGGAGGACATAATGCAGTTCTGTGCTGCTAGAAAAATCAGCTGGCTGGTGTCCTGTTTCTTCCCTGAACCTCCCCTCGCCCCAGGTAGCAAACTCCAAGGAAATTCTTCCTCCCAGTTCAGAGGAGGCTAGCTGACTCTGCTTTTGTGTGGTGCTGCCTCCTTCTTGAATTTAGGATGCTTAAGGTTTGTTGATTGTGGGTTTTTTGTGTGTGTGTGTGTGTTAAATACACTTCTCCGTTTTCTCATAGTTGCATCTAGCATCATAGTTTGAGCTTACAGTTTTTTCTTATAACAGAATTGAAGTCTTACTTCCAGAGCCGGTTCTTCCCCTGTAAGAAGATCAAATGAATACAAAAAATTATGGCTTCATGCTAAGAATTTTAGCAATTCACTTATTTGTAGGCTCCTCTTTAGTTCTGGGGAAGCCAGCTTTGAACTGAACAGCCGGAGAAGGTTAATGTGGGGAAAGCTTGAGAGAATTGGAGTTTGGAGAAAGAGGGCAAGCCCTTAAGGGAGACTTACGTTTACCATTCCTCTTTATCCTTACTTAAAAGGGGATTCATGAGATACAGTTACATAGGCTTTCAACATCTGAAAGACATTTTGTTACACTGTATAGTAATCTGTTTTCTGTGAAAAAGCATATCACTGGTGATATGCTAAATAGGGAAGAGAGAATGAACCGGGTGGTTTAAAAAATACACCTTGACCTTCAATTCAGATCTGAAACTTCCCCATAAACCTTGTATTCTACCTTTAAAAAAACAGCCTGGTATTCCTAATCTTTCCATGTTTGGGGTTTTCTTGGATTGCAGATGTAGTGGGAGATTTTTCTCAGTTCTGAGTATTAAGAGATTTTATTTGCAGGTTTAGTTACATTAACAGATGCTGTGCGGATAGAAGTGAAATAATTTATTTTGACACGCAGCTGGTTGGTCCCTGGAATGTGTCCGTTCCTCTCAATTCTTGTGCAAAAGTGAGTTACTTAAAGTTTGGCTGCAACGGTAGCAGATGCTGATGTGGCAACCCAGACCAAACATTCTTTCCTGCTTCTGTCAGCAGTGCACATTCTTCGTTTAAAGGTCAAAGTAACTTGACTAGTAAGGCTGACTCATGCAGATGTGGACTATGTGAATGCAGCGTATTTTGATTGCGCTCCCTTTGCACCCATAGTAAGGGTTTCTTTTTGAATCAATGAATTTGACATAATCACAGGCAATGAATTAAAATACCGATGTTTTGGAGTTTTTCATGATGATAGTGCCTCAGTGGAAAAAGATATACTCCGCAGATGGTAACAAACTTGCTGAAACTGGCTCGTGAAACTGAAAATATTCAAATTTCTTGCAGACTATTTTTATCAAAGATGTTTAAAGAAAAAGAAGCCTGCCCACATGGAGACTTGAAATTCTCTTCCAGCAAAGGATGTCTTTTAAACCATGTTGTTCTCATTCTGGCTTTATATTTGTGCTGTGCAGAAACACTATGTTTATACTTGGTTATGTACCTCAGTCAGTTCCAACAGGCATGTTATATGGTGTGTTATACATACATAACTGTAACATTTATGCATTACACACCCCCTTTCTCTCAGTTTTAGTTGTTTGCTTACAAGATTCAGTTGTACCACTGATTCTTGATAACCCAGAGTCATTTCATCTTGCTTGGGAGTATGCTATCTGAACCTCTATGACCACATGGGTTGAAAGGCACGTCTCCAAACACCTGGGGTTTTCTAAGTCTTTCTGCAGCCCCCAGGATGCTTCATTGCAGATAGTGACATAGAGATTTTAAGGAATTAATCCTGCATGATGTATTTTTTTATCTGTGAAATCCTTGACTAAAAGGTACCAGGCCAAATCAGGTGGATTTGGCTTCATGAACTTAAAGAAATGCAGTCTCATTTACCATTTAGAAAAAACTGCAGCAATCCCACAATACTAGTATTAACTACTCAACTTCCCAAGAGAGCTGTATTTTGTAATTAATTTTCTTTTGAAATGAAAAACAAACATTTTAATAATTTAATGTTCATACAAGTTACCACCTGTGGGTGGTAGATTAATGAACCTTACAGTAATTTTTTCTCACTTTTTGCTGTAATCCTTCATGGTCGCCATGGTTTTGTTCTGGAAAGATGTTACTACTTCTGTCTGCTAACTCCAGAATGTTTAAGTTGCCTCAGTCTTACCTTAGCTAGCATATATCTTTGTCCTTGCTGCATAAGTAAAGGTGTAATATTCATCAAAGAATAACAGATATGAATTTTGTGTTTTACTATGAAATGGTAATGGAATTAAGGAACTTGATATCCACTGAAATAACCAAGGCAGGAAAGAGATGGAGGTATCCTTGTGGTGTTAAACTTACCTAAAACTGCAACTGCTTTGGTTTCTGCCATGTCTTAGGCAGTTGCATTGGCTACTCTGGTGTAAAAGAAAATAAGTGTTCTGTCAGTTAAAATCCAGGTAACAGGTACCTACACAAATCTATGTAATCTTTATTTCTGACGAATGAAGTTATACTAAACTCTGACTTGTCTGCAGTGCCTGTTTCATGCATAGTTTGCTTTGTTTACTAGCATAATGCTCTTGACAGGGATGAGCTGGATGACATGTTACAATACTTACAATTGTAGGTCAGTTTTCATTTAAAAAAAAAAAGTTAATGAAACACATGACACATCTGACAACCCAGACAAATAAGGAATACTTTAATGATGCTGTATTGAGTTTTAAAATAACTGCATTTCGTTAGAGAATGAAATATGAAATTTAAAATAAGGAAAATTAAAAATTGGAAGCTTTCTACATCTAGATATTGATACTGTGTAAAGGTCTGTTTAAAGGAAGAGAATCAGTATTCAGTCTTCTCTTTTATTAGTGGGTCTTATATTTATTGTTTATTTGCTATAGGGAGATATATTCTTATGAATTACTGTAATAAATGTCTACCTGTTGGGTTATGCATGCTGAATTAATAGTATAAACATTGATATGGCAAAAGGAACTGAAGAAGCATGAACATTTTACAGTCTATAGTATCTGTAATGCATCTTGGCAAAGAATAAATTGGAGATACTTAAAAATTCAACACAATTAATGGAAACAGTTGAATACCATTTTATTGAATCAGAATTTGCATTAATACGTATCACTTGTTTTAGGATTATTAAGACAGGCCACATAGTTATTGTAATGTTCATTCTCTGGTCATTGTCTTATTTTGCTTACATAGTCTTTATAGGCATATAGGATAATATGACAGACTAAACTTTTTACACTAAAATTATGTCCTAGGTATTAAGTGCTGCTTGTGGAAGGTTGCACGTGAGTGTCTGTTGTGTGTATATATAAGGGGAAAAAAACCCACAGGAATGTAAGTCAGTAACTCTTATCACTTTTGAGGGACATCTTGTTTCAATTGTAGTATATCTCTTTTATTTTAGAGGAAGCCCACATCTAAAGGGAACCCCACATTATAAGGAGGAACAATGTGCTCCTTCATTATGTCTAGAAATGAAGAAAGTGCTGGACTTGCAAGCGTCTATCACAAGGTATGCTCACTAATCATGTCTTAAGAATTTTTCTGCATATAGCGGTTACTTGTTAAAAAGTGAAGGGGAAACTGGATGGAAAAAGCTTCTAGTAAGTTTTTAGACTTATTAATAGTAAGGACTAATAGTTACTAATAGTAAGTTACTAATAGTAAGTCTGAGGAGGTAAAAAAGTAAATTGCTGTTTAAGAATTCCTTCTTTCTGTGCTTGGCTATACTGATATTTTTGGCATATAGAAGTATATAGCACATGTATGTTCAGTATTACATTATGTTACTGTAAATATGTTTGTCCTTCAGCTCATAGTATGGATTAGAGATTTCATGGAGACATAGGTACATAAGAGCAAAACTGCCTGTAGCTTTTCAACATTTCTCCAGCTGCTGCAGAGGGGCCCTGTTTGTCCTGGAAAAACTTTTTGTTAACCTCTTCTTTTTTTTTTTGTGGTGATTGTCTTCCCTATAAATAAGCTTTGAACATGCTAAATAAGTGTGTGTGAAAAGTTGGTGAAACTCCATAGCATTGGGGTGGGGTGGGAAAGTAACAAAGTGCTATTTGGGAAGAGGCCCCATAGGAGAAAATGGATGTTGGAAGAAATGCAGTATGTACTGGAAAAAGGTTTTCTGGGAGGCTGCAGGTTATCTGCGTGGAAATAGGTTAACAATAGTTTTCAGAATTTTGGAGATGTTTAGGGAAGGATTTAGGAGAAGTCTAATTTCTGCTTCATTAATGGGCTTAGACCGTGGGTTAGAAAGTGTTGTGGATTATTTACAGCCTAGGCAATATTGGTAATTTTCTAGGATAGATGAATAATTGATTGTTGGCAGTAATGTCTTACGTTTAGTCAAAAGTATTAAAATGATCTTCAACAGTTCATATACCAGTTAAACAGTTACTCTAACAATACAGACTAGTTCATGAACTCTGATTCCTGGAGAAAAAGAGAGACAGATACCATATTTTGTCAGCTTGGTACCTTTACTGTCTAGAGGATTTTGGCACTTCGTTTGTGACTTATTTGATGTAACTTTTCAACATAGTTGCTGATACAAGAAGCAGTAATATGGTGTTTGTTGCGTTAATTAATGTTTCTGTGACATTGATTTGAGAAGCAGTTTTTTAGGGAATGACAAATACGTTTGTTAGTTTGCAGTCCATGTTAGAGGATCTACTTGTTGCTACTGCTGATGGATTTCTCCATCTCGTTCACTGGGACGGTATGACCAATGGAAGGAAGGCCATCAACCTATGTACAGTTCCATTTTCTGTGGACCTGCAGTCTTCTCGAGGTAGGTTTTGGGTTTTTTTTTTTTCTTTATTGGCGAAATACCATCTAACATAAAATATTATGTCTGTTCTCAAGCAGAGATGAGAAAAATGTGCCTTTTGTAGATGTGAATAAAATAGTCTGTTTAAATCAATTTTTTCTGTGAAGTAATCAGTAAACAACTGAAAAGTCTGTTGTCTTGCAATGTCACTGTGTTCACGTATTTTTAAATTACTGGTATTTTCTCAGCAGGTTCATTTTTGGGCTTTGAAGATGTTTACATCAGAGATATGGAATACTGTGCCACGCTTGATGGTTTTGCAGTTGTTTTTAATGATGGCAGAGTTGGTTTCATTGCACCAATGTCAAGTAGATTCACTGCTGAGGTATATTTCCTTTAGTATTTCTAGCATGCTCTCTACAATAAATGTGTTTTCCTTGGTCTCTGCATTTCAGTTAGCTTTCTATTTTAAATTCTGTTCAGCTGCAAAGAAATTAAAATTTATCAACTGTTTAAGAGATAATGTAAGAACAAGACTATATTTCTTACCATAATTTGAACTAGATTGTTCTAGGGCTAGTGCCTGTGTATGGGAGAGCATAATTGATAGTAGATTTAATTTTTGTTTATTGCTTCAAAATGTCATTATAGTTCTGAGATCTTCTCACTGTCTCTGCAACAGACTTCCTGTTGCTAGTTATAAGTGAGGTGATAAGAAGTGGTTTCTCCTATGGCAAAGTATCATAAGTGCTATTTCTAGCTTTTAGCCATAATCAAGCCGAACTCTTAGCCTAACTCTTAGCATAGTGACAAGCATACTTCAGAATTTGTTTTAAAGGAGTCTTTTCCAAGTTAAGTGTTTTCTTACCTGTAATTCAGCCTACGGACTGTACTACATTGTGTCATTAGATCTCTTCATCTTAATTACAGAAAACCCAGAAGGATTTGTGTAGTCTGTCCCAAACTCCTTCCCACACAATATCTGCAATTTCAGCTGTTGCAGATGGGAATTTATTTTCCTGTTTTGTGTTTTGTCTTCATCCTTAGTACCATCTACTGATTTTTTAACGCAGTATCAGGGATATTCTTGCCTTATAGGTATTGACTTGCTTTGGTTATTCAGAGCTCTGATAAACAGTTTCCTTACATACTGACATCTTTCTGTAGTTTTTATTAAGAACAATGAAACCTGTTTTACATGTACCAGATTTTGTTTATCTCAGCCATGTCAGTTAATACTGATATTTGCAATAGAAATTTTCTGAGGTGGTGAAGGTCAACTGGCAGATCTGTAATATGGCGTACGTGGGTATTACCTGGGTAGAAGCTGACTATTAGGAATAAAAGCACTGTTTAACCAAAAATTCTGTGAATTCCTTTCTTTACAGCAGCTCCATGGTGTTTGGGCACAAGATGTGATTGATGGAACTTGTGTGGCAGTAAATAACAAATACAGGCTAATGGCATTTGGATGTGCCAAGTAAGTTTTGTAAGCCTGGTTCATTGCGGGGGGGAAATGATTTCATTATAAAGCTTAAGTACTAGTTTCTTCTTACCAAGTTGTGTTGCAAGAGCTGTAAAGATGAAAACGATCGGTCCTCCTAGAGGTAGTACAATCTGCTCTGCCAAGAAGGTAGGAGGGAAGAAGAAAGAAATGGTTGCTTGCTTGAACTGCAGTTTAAACTGATGCTTGCTGTTCAGCTCTGGAAAAAAATTAAAAGGTAGCTGGACCAGTAGTAAGGATTGGAAAGTGCTGCCGTCCCAGTTAATATCAAAGCAGGATTATAAAGTCAGTTTTAAGCAGCTAATTGTAATAATATTGGACAAGAATCAACACTTCGCACCCAACTGAGAAAATGCTCTGTGAAGTGTTGATTTGGTCAGGAAAAATATTGTCTGTTCGAGTAACTGTGAGTATGTATAAATCAAATGTTGCAAAAGTGCTTTTAGTGTGTTTTGCTTATTGCTCCTTCAAGACAGTCCCTCCTGTGTAATACTGCTTTAGCTGGTCTAGAGTGCAGCTTTTTTTTTTTTTAATTGTATTTTATTCGGTTTTTAGAGCATTCAAAAGATCTGGGTCGTTTAGTCTTCAATTGTCTTCTTAAGAAATAGTATTCTTGGTTGTAGTAACAATGCAGTGTGTTGGTGTTTGCCTCTGAAACAGGAATAGTTACTATAATTCATTCATCTTGGTATGCATTAGTACACTCCTGATGAAACTTTAGCACTTGGTGAATACTGACTTCCCTCATGGATTGTCTTCCAGTTGGAAACCATAAATATATGTGGATTGTGTGTGCATGTGTATTTTCAGAGAATCAAATAGTCGTAGTGCATTGGTTATTACAGGGCTGGTGTTTTGGGTCCTCCACTGTCTTCTGGAAAGTATCTTACAGATTTGTTTCATAAAGTTCTTTGAGTGTTACTTGACACAATGTTTCTGTTCTAGATAAATTTGGTATTGGTGAGAAAAAAGCAGCTTTTATTTTACTCTTGAAACTGATGAGAAATCCAAATGATCTGTAGTCTAAAGCATGTGTAATCTCTTCCAGCGGCTCTGTGCAGGTTTATACAATAGATACCACTACTGGCGCCATGCAGTTTTCTCATAAATTGGAGCTGACACCAAAACAATATCCTGGTGAGCTACTTTTACTGCTAGAATTTTCCAGCTGTTTTTATGGTATTAAAGAATATTTTTATCCATGGCTAGTTAACAGCTATTTGTTGTTTGCATTATCACCAATGGGATCAGTATTTGCGTTTGTTCTTTTAGCTGCTTGCTTTTAACTGACTTTTGGATGTGTTTCATATGTGGGGGTCTGGGGATGTTTTTGTTGGGTTTTTTTGGGTGTTTTGGTTTTTTTTATTTTACTAAATCTGAATCTGAGTTAGCAGTTTACAGACAGTGCTGCTTCTGGTTGTTCGTTTTTAAATGCTGCAGATCTTAGTAGTTCCTACATGTAGTCTTGAGATTACTTTTCCATTACTCACCTGAGAAAATGACAGATTATTGTCAAAACTGATAATGAATATAATAGAGGTGTGAATTAACTTGAAATAACTGACATGTAGGGTACAGAAAAAAATTGAGTAATTCAGCACCCTGCCTGAACTGCAGTGAACAAAAACTCAATGGAATTTTTTGTGTAGTAGTGGTGAGCATTGCAGGCTTGAGAGTGAGGAACGTATAAAGTGGGTAAATTGCATCCTCAGCTGAAAATGTGTGTGCCTAGTAGGTTTCAACAAAAAAATCAAATCTGTAAATAATAGAGTTTTACAGTTGTGCTAAATGCCGTGTTAGAGGTTTCAATAGAGGAATATAAAATCTTTTGTCCTAAAAATCATTTTGCCATAATTGCAGTTCTATGGTTGCGTCATAGCACAGTGTATTTCTGGGCTGTTTTCATGTATTCTTAGTTTCCTATGAAACCAACTGTGTATTGGAAAGGAAACGTGAATTCTTCATTTGCTACTTATTCATTTTGAGATGGTCAGTTTTATGAATGCAACAGTTAATTGAAAGATCAAATATTTATTTCCATATATTTTTGTTTCTACTCTTATGGTGAAAGCAATTGAAGGACATTTGATGTTTTTCACATGGTATTTTATTGTCTGTTTTTAAACAGATATTTGGAATAAAACAGGACCTGTTAAACTAATCAGATGGTCACCTGATAGCTGTGTTGTGATGGTGACGTGGGAGTGTGGAGGCTTGTCCTTATGGAGTGTTTTTGGTGCTCAGCTTATCTGTACTTTAGGAGGTGATTTTGCGTGAGTATTGTTAATGAAATTGTAAAAGATTTTATTAGAAAACTTTATTTTTCTGATTAAAAGCATTTAATTAGAAACTAATTCACTGAATTAGCTTTTAAAAATATTTTTCTGTTACAATTTCTTAGATATTGGAATCATTTAATAATATTTAGGAAGGGATCATTTGAATATAAATGAAAATGTATTATTTTCTTTCTCTAGTGGTCTTTTTGGCCATAAAAGCAAATTACCCTAAAGGCAGGCTTTAGCAGGCAAATATTAAAATTCCCTCAATGCCAGTATATATTTGCTGAAAATGTGCTAACATCCAGAAACCACAATTCAAACAGTGTATCCTAGACATCTGACAATTGCATTGCCTTTTATACAGTGTCATGGATCAAAAAGGCTTTATAGTTTGAGGTGAGGTTCAGTATCAAACCATACGACAATACAAAGATAGGAAGATAATTTCTTATTTTGATGAAGTTATTTCCAAACTCAAACTTGTTCTGTTCTTTTTTAAGGTACCAATCTGATGGTGCCAAGAAGGACCCTCTAAAGATCAGTTCTATGGTAAATATGAATGTAAAAATACTATAATAGGATGGCTGTTAATTTTTTACATTATTTTTAGTAAAACAGATTTTCAGAAAATCAAACTGGCTTTCTTTAGCTTTATTACTTTTAAAGAGTAAGGTGCCTTTACTACACTTCCTAACATCAGTGTATTGAAGGAAGAGGGAAAAGGGGACAGCTGATGATTTCCCCCACCCCATGTATACACCTGATCATAAAGTGTGCATGGCATCGATTTTCTTGGCTTTGCTTTTAATATTAAGAATGAACACTTCGGGTTTTCCGTAATATCTTTTTGGTTTTTAACCTGGTGCTGTATTTCAGAATACAATGAGACACAGAACAACACTAATTGTAAACTTACTTCTCTAAAATTACTAGCTTACCTTTGGCTGTTGAAGTAGTTTAGCTCAGAACATGAATTCAAGAGAAACTTAGCTGCTGTTGTTTTAATACAAACTAATTAATATGAAATCCTGCAAGTCTGTGAAATCAGTAGATGTTGTTAAATATCAAACACAATCTTCAAGGCCTCTTTTACAAACCATGATGAATTTTGTACAAGACTTCTAGTATAGCCTAGTTGCGATGCAGATTGACAACTTTAAAAACTCATCCCAAGTGGATGTACATGTCTGCAAGGACAGGACAATGTACCTTTTAAAAAAAACCCCAAGATTGAAATTCTGATACCATTGAATTTAATGAACAACAACGAATGTAATTTTGGGGATCAGGATTTTTTCATACCTGGTTCTGTTTGTGGAGTTTCTGTTAATTGCTTTAAGCTGCAAACTAAACAGTCTTCATTACTTATGTGAATATCTTGCATAGTTACTTTTCATTTAATCATCATTTTTTACATAAAAAAGAAAAGAATTTAAACTAGATTCTTACTGTTCTATGTGGATTTTACTGCTGTGGATTACTTATGATTCCTGTGATGATATGTTTTAGAACACCAAACTGTGTGGTTTTTTACCAGGCTTATGTCTCTCATAAGATCAGTTACAGTAAGTTTCTGTAGTTCTTGTTTTCTGAGAATATACAGTGTTGGTTTTGGGTTTTTATTATTGTTATTCTTTTACATTCAGACCTGGGGATCAGAAGGGTATCATCTGTGGGTTATTGATGGGAATTCTTCTTCAAGCATGAAGCCTGAAAGAGATGCAAATAATGAAGCTCGCCAGTTTGGTATTCTGCAGTTTCATTTCATCAAAAGCGCACTCACTGTTAACCCTTGTATGGTAAGTTTTTTGTTTATAAATATATCCTTATTTTAGAGTGTACTTCCAGTTTTTGGGTGACCTGAGTTATTCACTTAACAGGTTTTAAGTCTGGTTTGCAATCATTAGACTGGTCTTCCTTTTTTGTCATAGAGCCTTTAAAATGGTACTTTGAAAATATTGCTGTGCAATACTGTAACATAAAACCTACTAATACACAGTGACACAAAAACTGAGAACTGCCTTAACGCTTATTTTTCATATTGTTTACGTAGAACTTCTTAATATATTGGTCATGTGCTTTCCTTTGTTTTCTGTACATGGAGTGTGAGGTTTCTTTTGGTTTTTTGTTGTTTTGTTTTTAATGTAGAGTAACCAGGAACAAGTCCTTCTTCAAGGAGAAGATCGCTTGTATTTGAACTGTGGAGATGCAACACAGGCTCAGAATCCCAGAAATACTTCAGCACACTCTGAACACAAGCCTACCAGGGATAGAACTGGAATTTGCAGCTGATGTCATCAGTTTCTGCCACCCTTTTCCTCTAGTGTGAGATCATTGCTTTTTTTATTGCCTCTTGGGTTTCCCCAGTACAGCTTTTTCTTATTGCCAACTGGTAAAAGAATGTTGGCCATTTCAGCCTTGTGGCTATGAGTTTGCATTTTAGCCAATAAAAAAATCTAAATATCTTTTTGACTTCAGGAAGGAGTAGTTAAATTACTTTCCTATGCTTTCAAAGGGAGAATAAGTGCAACATGCAAGAAATCCTTTAAGGATTTGTTCTGTTATTTATGCAAATTACTTTAAGCATATTCAGCTGATGAATACAGCCTTCAGACTTTGGCTGTATTTTCAGGCAGTCTTAGATGGCATCTATTTAAGCATATAATTAAAACTTCACAATTTCAAGCTTGCAAAGAAGAAATTATTTCCAGGGTGGTAATGGGAGAGATTCTATTTTCTCTGTAATATGGAGGAAAAATTAAATAACTTTAAATCTGTAATTCTAGTGTGTGTTCTTCCACGCTTGAATTGGTAGATATTTTTCTAAATAAAGGTTTTTAAAAGGTCCTCAAGATTTTGTTTTTCACATAGTAGTGAATCAGTATTATTAAACAGCATTTGACTCTAGGCGTGAATGTCAGGTTATAGATACTGTTGAATTTCCACTTTAGCTGGCCAGGTAGCTCTTCTGTCTTCTGAAACTGGCATGGGAGGGGGAAGTCCTCATTCTGTGTAGGAGTAAAACTAACACAATTGGAATTACTATGTGGAGCAACATACCCATGAGAACAGCCAGTGGCTGGGTAATGAGAGCACCTGACTGCCTTGTATCAGACCAAGGACTGAAGTTTGAACCTGGATTTGTATCATCCCATGTGACATGAAGAATCCAGGATCAAGATTTAATTTGACATATCCCAGTCAAGTGCTCTCATAACAAAGCTTTTGGATGTGCTGGTGTGTATTTCTGATGGGGTTAGAAATTTCATGCCAACACTGAAAGTCTATCCTGAATGGTGTGTTTATCAAAACTTGTACATTCCCATGAAATTCTGATGGAGGAGAAGTACCTAGTGGGGGAAGAAGAGAAAATTTTGACTATTAATCTGTAATGCAGTATTAGCTGTTGTATGTTGTTAATGCATTTCTGTATTTCTTGTATTAAAAACAGGCTAACATTTAGGCTTCAGTAGCTTTCTTGAGGGAGGGGAAGTAATTGTATTTAAAAAAGAAATCCCAACATTAACAACCTTTAAACCAGTGTTTTGGAAAAACACGGACATTTTACAAATTCCTTTAGAACATTATAATTAATCACTACTTTAATGGTGCTTGGTATACTTATGTGGCTTTGGTTTTTCTCTTTTTTTTTAGATTCATAGTACATACCTAGAGAGCAACTGGCCTATAAGGGTGAGTTATTTTAAGAACATGTTTTTGCTTCTTTAAAAGTATTGGGTTTTTATAACTGTTCCTTAGGGTTGGATGAGCTCTGGAAGATGAAGTAATTGTTTTAAATTACAGAAAGAAGAGTATGTGTTGGGCCATAAAGTAGAAAACATGAAGATACTTTACAAGTTTTGACTCTGACATTATATTGCCTTGTAGTGATGTATTTGGATAGGATATATCATTTAAATAAGTTCCCTCCTGAGGTTCTGGGGTTTTTCTCTTTGAACAGTTTTCAGCTATTGACAAGCTTGGACAGAATGTAGCTGTTGTTGGCAAGTTTGGTTTTGCACATTATTCTTTACTCACCAAAAAATGGAAGCTGTTTGGAAACATTACCCAGGTGAGAGGTTATGGTACTTTATTCAGGCATACTGGGGAGGTTGTATTTGTTGGAACGTGACTCTTGGAGAAAATGAAAACATACCTTCATAAAATAAACCACCTGTAGACACACTTGGGATGAGGGATGCTGGTTTTGCATGTGTTTTTCATAAAATGGCTGAAACACTTATCTTGTGGCTTTGGCACAATAATTTCTGTCTGATTATTAAAAGGTTTCCAAATCTGAGTACGTATAGTCAGACACTTACTCCCATATGTCTTATCTGAGAGTTTGTGTGAGGCATAGCTTTGGATGCCAAGCTTGTAAATTCTGGCCAGAAACAGAAAGCTAATTTGAGAGAGTTCAGGGATGCCAGTAGCATAAGGAACTGTGAAGCTGTGTTTTGTAAGCTGATGTTTGTCCTTCACATATTATTCTCCAGTACTTTGGGTTTTTTAAACCACAAAAACTTCCTATACATAGATTGTCTTGCCACTATCAGTAAAGCTTGTAGAGATCATGTATGGCTTTCAGAAATTACCCATAGAATGTACGTGTGTGTGTGTATATAAAAATACATACATATTTGCTTGCTTTTTTCATTTCAGGAGCAAAATATGACGGTAACAGGTGGCTTAGCATGGTGGAATGACTTCATTGTTCTTGCATGTTATAATTTAAATGATCATCAGGAAGAGGTGAGGTATTTTTTTTTCAAAGTAAATAAATCATGTTTAGAATATCTGATCTGTTCTACGGTAGTATTATAAATATGAAAAGCTTGGTCAGTCACTGAGGGGAGCTGCTCTGGAGCCGGCCTGATCTGCAGCAGAGTAGCAGATCTTGGCACACAGGGGGGCTTCCTGAGGCAGGAAAATGCCAGGGCAGTGGAGAGACCTGCCAGGACCTGGCAGCTCCCATTAGAAACTCTATCGAGGCCTGGGCATTGCTAGAGGAACTGCGACCACCTCTATACCTATACAAAGCAGCCTGGGGAGTGTGAGCGACCAGGAGTGCTGCCAACAGAGTGGGCAAACAGAGCACGGCGCGTCACCCAGGGAGGGCGTGGTGTGGCAGTTTGTGCTGCAGTTTGCATGGAAGTGCATGCAGGAAGGGTGTCGTCACCCTACCAGTTCAAGAGGTAAGTTCAGTTGGTGCTCATCACCCTCCCAGAAGGAGCTTACCTGTGGTGTCCACACGGCAGAAAGCTACATCCTCTGCTCTCACCAGACTGATGTGGCTACCCAGATGGAGCTCCCATGAAAACATGCAGCCATCCAGGTCGTGGGCTGCAGGGCGTGCCAGAGCCTTTCACTGGTAAGGGATGGCGGTAGTGAGAACAGCTGTGTGAGGTGTGACCAGGTGGACGATCTGCTCAGCCTGGTGGCAGAGCTACGAGAGGAAGTAGAAAGGTTAAGGAGCATCAGGGAGTCTGAGAAAGAGACAGGCTGGCGGAACCATGCTCTGCCCTCCCTGAGACAGAAACAGGAACAGGCACCAGAAAAAATGCAAGATCAAGGGGATCCTGTATCCTCCCGCCACCAGTCTGAAGGCAGTAGCTTAAAGGAAGGAGTGAATGGAGGCAAGTCAACGCTCGGGGTGGCAGGCAAACCCCCTCCTTGCCCACCTCACCTTCCCAGGTGCCTCTGTACAACAGGTATGAGGCTCTGGATGTGGAAGGCCAGTCAATCGATGATGTGGATGATGGTCCTTCTATACCAGAGGTGTTGCCAAGGTCAGAAAGGCCTATCCACCGTATCATGACCACCTCCACAAGGAAGAAAATACAGGTTACAGTTGTAGGTGACTCCCTTCTGAGGGGAACAGAGGGTCCAGTGTGCCAGACAGACCCTCCTCTTAGGGAAGTCTGCTGCCTCCCTGGGGCCCAGGTTAAGGACATCGCTAGGAAACTTCCTAGACTGGTATGGCCCTTGGGCTATTACCCATTATTGCTCTTCCATTTGGGTGGCAATGAAGCAGTGATGTGTAGTCTGAGGGCAATCAAAAGTGACTGCAGGGCCTTGGGATGGTTGGTGAGGGAAGCTGGAGCACAGGTAATTTTTTGCCCTCTCCTTCCAGTTGCTGGCAGCAACATTGGAAGAAACAGACTGACCCAGTCTATTAATACATGGCTCTGTGGCTGGGGTCACTGCCACAGCTTTGGGGTTTTCGATAATGG